GATGTCTGATTTCATATTGCGATCAAAAACAAAACAATTGGCCAGCCATTCTAAATTTGAGAGATGCAATTGGTCGAACAAAGAAAAATATATTCAACATTATGCCATATTCTAAATCAACAGGATCTTCTCTCAATCTAGATCTCCACTCAAAGCATCTCCATTCAATATGGATCGCCACTTAATAAGGATCACCACTCAATCTAGATCTTCAATCAGGATCTCCACTCAAAAGATTTTTGATTGATTAGGCTTGTTTTTTAGCTCCATATGTCTCAAATGCAATCTGGATTCATTAGGGAATTCATTTTGAATATTACCTTTTAATTCATGACCTTCATCAGAAAAAACAAATTTAATTGAATGTGGAACTATGCAGAGAATCAAAATTGGCAGTTTGAGATTCATGTGGAATGGAATTTTGATGTTGAGTATTATATATTTGATTGTTGTTATATGGACTATGACTTTATTTTATCTGTCATTAAAGTGAATTTGAAGGGAAATCATTGTCATTATTCTGATTTTGCAGTGAATCAAGTTTAACAAGTTGTACATAACTGTGGTGTGACTGTGAACCACTCTGATTTACCTGTCTATCGCATGTTTTCTCCCCAAAACTTTGGCATTCTCATAGATCACCTTAAGATAAATTCAATGTTCGTCAACAATATCCAGGTCTGTGTCAATAGTCAATTGTTCTTTGTGCATCTGCAATAAATGAATTGCTGATTTGCTTTTCTCATTTTTGGAAACATCGATACTGTTCAAGAACCACGGTATTTCAAGATTAAGCCATTGAAAATATTTAACCAAATAATACTGGAAATTTTTAGCGTTATCTTGGAAATAATCTAAATAAAAAAATGGAGAAGTGAGAGGTATATAGTATGCCTATATACCTCTCACCATTCAATGCATCAGATGCAATTGCGACCATGTTTTCGAACTCTCTCTAGAAAATGGAAGCCTACAATGCACTAATTATGTATCATTACCTTGTAAACTCCTCTACTTTTCAATGCTAAATAATTATAATTTTCTTAGATATTAATAATTTATAATATTTTTCTACTATTTGTAGATATTTAAAAAATGGTATTTAAAGATTTAATATTTTCTAATAAAAAAGTTTCAAAAATTTCAGCGAAAAATAAAAATATGATTCACTTTTCTATTGCTTTTTGTAAAGCTCATTTTCGGTATGATACACTATCATGATGGTGATCAGATTCAACTTTTAAAATGATATATGTATTATTTATTAGATTCTTATTCTTCACATGAGCATAACAATGAGGATTTGGACAATCCAACTTCATAACTGTGGATTCATTTGTAGTATGTTTGTGATAAATTAAGCTGTACATGAAAAAGTAGAAAAGTCATGTAAAAAAGTGATTTGATAAGGATGAATTTAATTTTAAATTACTTGTATAAAAATAGGATTTTGAGATATCTTATTTAAATATTTTGAATATCTCAAAATAAAAAAATGTTGCAAACATCTGACATGTAACATGTCAGATTTAGAAAAAGGATATTTGACACCTAAAACCTGGCATAACTCTATACAAAAAACATTTTTTCATATACTTTGCTCCATTTTGTGCAATATATCAACTTCAAGATCACTTTACTTCTATAATTTCGTGTTGCAACATTTTTCTGATTTTAAGCATGAAAAATAGCGTGACTTCATTTTTGACATTTTAATTATATAAAGTTTTCATTCTTAAAAACTTGGAATTATATATCTTCCTCATTTGTCTAGTATATACATTAATAATCCAAAAAACATAGGAAATATTTTAAAAATATATAGAAATATCTGAATACAATTGATAGGTTAATAAAATTTGGAAAAATAAAAAACTTAATATTTTAAAGAAATACATATATGATCCAATGTTTAACATTTTATATTCTCATAAAGACTCTCAAATTATTGATTGGAAACGGTTTGAAAGTTATAAATTTTAAAAAAAATTGGAATTTTTTTAGATTTTTGGCGATGTGTTTTAAAATTCCTCTGATTGGAGATCCTTCTAATATCTCAGTAAATTCTTGAAGGATTACCTTGTGACCATATGCAAATAGTTACTTCTTTGATATTAGTATCTTATCATGCAATTAGTTTCTTGAGGTTGATCTATTTATGATAAGGTTTTTATCCATTAAGTCTATGGCTTTAACTATCAAATAATTTATATGATTTTTTTAAAAAATTATTTTATTTAAAATAGGGAAAACCGCAACCACTTTTTTTAATCACGATTTAAATATATAAATCGCGATTTTTTAGAAAAATCGCGACTTTTTTAAAATCGCGTTTTTTAATGAATTGCGATTCTATTGTGGTCGCGATTTTTCTAAAAAATCGCGATTTATATGGAAAATTGCGTTATTGGTTCAATCTAAAGATCATTATTTAAAAAGTGAACTAAAAATATAAATATAAGAATAAAATAAAAATTGTAATAAGAATGTTATAAAAAGTTTTTTAGATTTGAGTTGCCGATAGGCTTGAGCAAATGTATTTTATTGCTAAAGGTTTTTTTGTTAGATTTATGTAATATTTTTTTAGTTAAAGGTAAATTATGATTAATTAGTGCAGTAAAGTAAGACTTCAAGAATTTTGACCAGTAAAGTGGGATTGAGGTATTTGTTATCGAGATTGTTTGATTTTAGATCTCTGATTTCGCAAGTATGCAGAAAAAACCATATTGTGAGCAGTCTAAAAGGATAACAGCCATTCTAGATTCAAAAAAATCTTTGTGAATTGCTTTGTTATTGAATTTAATTGCGACCTTTTCGCTTAATGAGGTCCAAAATCATGGTTCCGATTTGTTCTATGTTCGCGATTGATAAAGAAAATCGCGTTTAATTTTGATCACAATTTTCCATAAAAATCGCGATTTTTAGAAAAATCGCGACCACAATAAAATCGCAATTCATTAAAAAACGCGATTTTAAAAAAGTCGCGATTTTTCTAAAAAATCGCGATTTATATATTTAAATCGTGATTAAAAAAAGTGGTTGCGGTTTTCCCTAATAAAATAATTTTATCAAATAACTATAGTTCATTCAGTAATTGCGTAGCATCTACATGCCTTATTATAAAATCAAAATGAAAAATACTGGCAGAGTTTTTCGTCACGCAATTGAATTCTCAAAATTTGTTCTATATAGAATTCTTTCAGATTATTGAACCGAATTCATTGGAAAAGATTTTGAAACGGTTTTCCAAGAATTTAATATAAAACGTTTCAAAACACCTCCGTATTCTTCATAACTTGAATAGAACTTATCATCAATTTCTAATTGAATTGTCTTGCATCTAATTGATTGGATTTTTTTACAATTTTCATAAGGCTATTAAATTATTTTATCTTAAAGATTGTGAAATTGTTAAAGCTTCTATTATAAGATTATTCAGCAGTTTTATCAGAATATGATGGATAATGAGGCTCGTTTTTGATAATTTCATAAAATCGATCCGGATGACCACAATTTAGATCCATTACATATTTGATAACATAATGATCCAGAAGTTGATGTAGTAAACTATTATTTCCTTTGCAAATATGATCGCAGTTGAATTTTGTAATATATTTTCCGTTTTTATGGGGACGATACCATCTTAGATGAAAATTCCCATACCACAATTGTCCTTTTGAATATTATGCAGTGACAAAGGTGGATATTCAGATCTGATCTTTTAGGGGCAGATGAACTTTATATATGCACATCTATACATGTAGCGATGAAGGGAAAATCTCGTAAACGAAAAAGAGGATTTGACGCAGTCAAATCCTCTCTCTCAAAAAGTGGACTTTACATGGCAAATTTCAAATGCATGTATGGTCCACTTTGATCAGTTTCAGGATGGAATTGGAGGCCATGAGGTACTGACATTGCATCAGTATCTCATAGCCTCCAATCCCTTCAAAAAATGGGAGAAACTTTGGTCGAATAATTTAACATTCGGCCAAAGTTTCTCCCATAATTAATGAGAATGAAAGGGTAAGAGGCATATAGGGTCACTATATACCTCTTACCCTTTCATTTTCATTTGGAGGTCAACAAACCCGGAGTTAATTGCAAACAATTAACTCCAAATTTGTTTATGTTCAGGAAGGAATTGGAGGGTAAGAGGTACATAGTATGAATATGTACCTCTTACCCTGCAATTCCTTCTAGAAAGTTCCAAAACTTTGGGTTAATTTCAAACTATTAACCCAAAGTTTTGGACACTTTCAAGTGGAGATGGAAGGCTTTGGGATATATATTAATACAATATACCTCAAAGCCTTCCATCTCCACTACAAATGGGAGAAACTTTGTCAGAATAGTTTAACATTCGGACAAAGTTTCTCCCATCTTTCAATGTAATTGCTACCTGTGAGGTACTGACTTGAAGTCAGTGCTTCACAGGTAGCAATATCCAAAAATTTAAAAACATTTTATCAGTTCGTTAGAGAACTAGAGCCTCCTAGGTACTGAACCAGAATCAGTGCCTAGGGGACTCTAGTGATCTATATAAATCTGAGAAACTTTGAGGAAATTGTTCGACATTTCCTCAAAGTTTCTCAGCAATTTAGCGAGGAATGTTCGTTATCGTGTAGATATTTATAATATATACATGATAACAAACATTCCCCGCTAAAAGATGTAAAATCTTATAAGAAATAATTGCAAAAGAATAACAAATTGCAACAAATTTTATATGAAACTGAACCTTATGAGGTAGTGATTCAAGATCACCGCCTCATAAGATTCAGTTTCAATCTCAAGTATCTCAAAAGTAAGGCTCTATTTTTTGCCATGTAAAGTATCACTTTTTCTGTCAAACCGTTTTTATCATTTTCGTTTACAACAAAGATATTTTTGGACCCAAGTTATTCACAATATGAATTTATCAGAAGTCAATATTTAGATCAAATGTTCTTATGTGCATATTCTATTGCCTCAACATAACAAAATTATATAAGTAATATATGAGTGTATTCGAGCAAGAACTACTCAGAACAAAGCTATCAAGATCACAGCATACAAAAGATCAGGAACAAATAAAAGATCTTGAACAATCAATTTCAACGTTAAAGAAGAACTTACACAGAACAGAGCATGAGTTGGAAATAATGCAATCTAAGTATGAATACAGCCAAATTGCCCTAGACCAGAGCAAAGATCAGCATGTTGAAGAACAAAGATCCAAATACGTCTACATACAAGATAATGTTGAGAGTATCCTTATAACATTAAAGAGGATGGAAAGAAGGTTCGAGAAGGCAAACTATAATAAATAGGAGAAGATGATCAAAGATCTCAATTGTCCAGATGAAAACACATTAATGTATGAGGCCATCGAATATGATTTATTCAGATGTACATTTAACGAAATGCCCAAAAATAAAAATGAAACATATCAAATTTAAGAGTTGTTAGATTCTAGAATAGTCACAGGAGCTGAATATTTTTAGTGTTATATACGAAAGCGATAAAAACGGTTTGACAGAAAAGTGATAACTTTACGTGTCAAAAATAGAAAAAGTGACATTTTATTTGTAATATTAAAATGAATCATCATAATCTTCTTCATAAGGGTCTTCATAATCTTCTTGATATTCTTCTTCATAATCTTCTTGATATTCTTCTTCTTAATTTACTTCTATTCTTCTTTTCATTACTATCTTCTTCTTCAACTTCCTCGCCTTCTTTTTCCCATTCATCTTCTTCGATTGCTTGGAGCTCTGGCATCTCATTAGCCATAAGTGAACCTGGAAGAAAATCTTGAGAGACTCCATCCACAATCCATTTTGCCGGCATTCCCCTCTTCCAAATTGGAAGTTTCTTCCACATTTCAGATGGGCTATAGTGAATTTGTTTTCCATTCACATAATGAGTTGGTAATGCTAGATGAGGTTTAGCATTATAGTACTCAACCCATTGTTGAATCTTTGCCCATGACAACTCTCTGCTCTCTATGTTAGGCCACAGGCGCTCGATTTTCCAATTTTGGTATGGGCAATGGGGGACAATATATACATTATTGATCCCCCGAACCCTCATAGCCTTTAGGAACTCGCCTTTATTCTCGCCGCCATTATCAGACCAAATTGTATGTGGTTGTCCATAACAGGCTATTGCTCTCTTAATTACTTTCACTGTTTGGCTAGCATGTTTTGACGAAAGATGCTGCCATTCTATGATGAGCCTTGTGCAGTCATCAATCACAGCATAAAGAATCTGACTTCTCTTTTTGCCAAGAAAGTGGATATCAACGTGCCATATTTGGTTAGGAAAGGCAGCTAAGTATCTTGTCTTTCCTTTTGGCCGATAGGGTCCCCTTGGACGTGCCAAGCCTAGCTCTCTAAAAGCTCTTTCTACCATATGTCTTGAGGGGGATGTGGAAGAGGGTTTGTAAGATATTTAATGTTCCTCAGCTCAGATGGAAATGATAATGGAGACTCTTCAATCATAAGTCCGGAAGGAATTGTGGAAGAAATTTGATTCAGGGGCTTAAAACGTTCAATAGCGGAGAACCATGCTTGGGTAGGCGTTGGCTGTGGAACAATACCCGTCTTCATGTCCAAAAATGCCTCAAAATGAGATTTGGCATATTCGATATCTTTATTTATTTGGTTATAGGCGGAGATTATTCCAAGATGGCCATGCTGCTCAATTAGGTTTCTAATAGTTACCTTAAGATCTTTTGGTACATTAACTTTGGGTCTCCCGCGCTTAAGGGGAATAGACACAGATGGGTGAGGCTGAGGCTGAGTATTGGCAGAGAGCTGTTGCTGTGGGGGAGTGTTGGCAGAGAGTTGTTGCTGTGCCGAGGTGTTGGCAGAGAGCTGGCGTTGTGTCTGGGTGTTGGCAGAGAGTTGTTGCTGTGGAAGAGAGTTGGCAGAGAGCTGGCGTTGTGTCTGGGTGTTGGCAGAGAGTTGTGGCTGTGGGGGAGTGTTGGTACTGGTGGCTAATGAAAGCTGGCGTTGAAGAGGAGCGTTGGCTGTTGAGAGCTGTTGCTGTGGAACAGAGTTGGTAGTGCTGGCTGATGAAAGCTGGCGTTGTAGAGGAGTGCTGGCTGATGAGGGTTCTTCCTGTATACGAGAGTCGTTTGAACTTTGTAATATCAAATAATCGGTAAGGAGAGTGTCATCTCTGTGTTTCAAAATGGATGAACACTCGTAGAGTCGATTATTATATTTAATGTAGAAAGTAGTAAACTCTTGAAGTTTGTATGTATGATGTAAGTACTCTTCAATAGTAATTAGTCTATTACATAAGAGAGCTTTGTAAAATGTTATCTTGTTAATTGATGAACGAATAGTGTTGTTGACTAATGGAACATTTGTGAGAACAATGGCTAACGGTGTGCGCCTTTGAATCTGTGCTAGAGCTGTTTCAAGCCAAGCTGAATCAACTAAGTGTACAAATTCATTTTAAACAAATTTGAAATGAAATAATTTGTGAGAATTTGAGAATAATTTAATTATTTCAGAAGTCTATATTGAAAAAATATTCTTAACAAAATTAATTTAAATGGTTCAGAAAATAAAAAATTAAAATTAATGGAAAAAACATGATTAGGAATAATTAACAATAATAAATATCATGGTTTTGGATTATTTAAACAGCTATAAAAGAACGAATTTTACAAATTACGATAAAAAAATTATTGAAAAATAATGAAGAGGATAAGGATTTGAATCGAAAATTAAAAGGATGATTATGTGTCAAATTAAATTAAAATAAAAATTTAGAAGATTTAGACAAGAAATAGTGCAAAGAATTAGAATTAACATAAAAATCGAAAATTTAATAAAGGAGAGATAAAATTATTGTAGTATTCAATTGAAAAATTTTATAAAATAAGGAATATTGGTAAACAAATAAGTTTCATCTAAAAAAAGGAAAATATGTAATAAACAGAAATTCATCAAAAGTGACAGCTCTCAATTTTTTGACATTTGTAAATTCTAAATTGAATGAGAAAATTGAAATAATACTAAGCATAATACAATATTCTAGATTTAATTATAATTAGGAAAAAGTTAGTTTTGAGAGTACTTTTCATAGGCATATAGAATGAAATCTTCTGAAAAATAATATCACATAAACTCATATTATTTTCTAATATATAACTATTTTATATAAAAATCAAATTCAATGATCTTAAAAGCGAAGGATAAACCTCAAAATTTACGAATATAATGAGTGGGAATATAATGCTTATCTATCATAAAACCATATGAAATATCAATTTTTGCTTTACGCCTAATTTTTGACGACAATTAGCAAAAAATGTTAAATGTTAACACTCAGTCCATTTGAATATGAAAATAAAATTGACTTTGATTAAATGTTTTTATTTATCATGCAATTCTTCTTGCGACTAAAGATTTGAATAAAATTTCAAAAAATAAGATAGCTTAAAAAATAATATACGGTAGTGTTTACTAATAGATGAATAGTATATAAATTCTATTAAAATGGATTTGATCCAAAAAATATATAAAATTTGATCATAAATAAAATCGTTTTAAATTACTTCTTCATTTAAATTATAACAATTATTTTTGGTTTTATATTTTTTGGATCAAATCCATTTTAATAGAATTTATATACTATTCATCTATTAGTAAACACTACCGTATATTATTTTTTAAGCTATCTTATTTTTTGAAATTTTATTCAAATCTTTAGTCGCAAGAAGAATTGCATGATAAATAAAAACATTTAATCAAAGTCAATTTTATTTTCATATTCAAATGGACTGAGTGTTAACATTTAACATTTTTTGCTAATTGTCGTCAAAAATTAGGCGTAAAGCAAAAATTGATATTTCATATGGTTTTATGATAGATAAGCATTATATTCCCACTCATTATATTCGTAAATTTTGAGGTTTATCCTTCGCTTTTAAGATCATTGAATTTGATTTTTATATAAAATAGTTATATATTAGAAAATAATATGAGTTTATGTGATATTATTTTTCAGAAGATTTTGTGTTCTTCTTCAAAATTTTACTTTCTTATTAAAAAGAATCTTTACAAAATATACATTTACTTTAATTAATATTTAAAAACGTGCTCTATCAAAAGTTCAAAAATTCAATATTTTAGCTTTTCTGAGGTGTCACTTTTGATGAATTTCTGTTTACAACAAATAAAAATATAAAAATTGAAATAAAAACAGAAATATAAAATATTTTTAAAATGCAAACAAGTTTCATACTAATCGTTTTTGTATAATATTTATCATTGAAAGATTATTGAAAGATATTTTGAAAGAAATCGAAAGAGTTAAGAAATATTGAGAAGAAGGACAATTGAATGAATTTTTGGCCGATTGTGCTATGCAAAGTTGATGATAATTGCGAAAAAAACAGAATTTTCGAAAAAGTGACATCAACTATTAAAGTTATTTTATTACTAGATTTATTTACAAATTATAAGATAATATCATTAACCGAATATATTTTTAATATAAATAAAAAACTTTTTTTATACAAAAAATTACAATCAATCGATAAATATTATAAAACATTTATTCCAAAAAGATTAAGTAATAGGTGGGATCCTGCATATAATATAATTTTATGTCATAAAGTTTACAAATTTTAGATGGACCACAGTGAGAATGTGAGTGGTTAATTTAAAGGTGGTCTGATAAAGACATCGAAGCTTACTCAACACAGCATGAAGCAGTTTCTAATACAGAATCTTACTAGTGGTGTTTCGGTCGCCAGCGCTCTCATAGGGGTGCTGATTTCAAAAACCACTACTTCAAATTATTCAACAATACTCAATGCAGCATGAAGCAGCTACTACTGCTGTATCTTACTGGTACTGTTCTTAGCTTCTTACTATCAACTCTAAAACTAGTTTGATGTATTATTTATTCAATATTAACCTTAATTATTTACAATTCTCACTTTTTTTATTTTTTAAATGAATCAATCTGTTCCTGCTCCCCTTACTGATACAAAACAATATATTGATTTCATTCATTATCTTCAATATGGAGTTCAAGCAGAGATGCGTGCTAACTGCAATTATCGGAAAGATTCGCATTTGAATTCAGATGGAGTAACAATTATTAGACATTACTGTAGATGGGGAAGTTGTAGTGCTAACTTTACCTTTGAAATGAAATCTAATCAATACAGATTTGTAAATGGACATCATTTTCATAATCATGTTGGTGAACCACCGTCTTTTAAATATATACATATATAAATATATACATATATAAATATATACATATATAAATATATACATATATAAATATATACATATAT